ATACTGAATCTGATAAGAATTGCTGGGGATTACGTTAGTGAGGAGGTGAGTGTAATATCATGCCCTAGTTAATAGTTTGTCTAGACAGTTTATTATAGTGTGACAAATATGTTACACTTTAAGGCTTCTCTTGCCTGAAAATCATAACATTATGAAAACAAAGCCCAGGGTGATTTGTTAATATCTTCTAAAGTTAAAGCCTGCACCACCTGCGCCTGCGGCAGATTGCCATAGTGTATCATTGTTTACAAATACTAACAAGCCTTTGTGGTTCAAATCCTGTGAGTGCAGGTAACAACCCTTCCAATTTAAAGTACAAATTTGCATGTTATTTGCTTGGTAGGAGAACTTTGCTGTCTGTTACTTTGAAATGATTTTAGCATTATGATGTATTGCATGGCTCGCACATTTTGTGGGCATCATTCTGGTAGATGGTTCCTATTGTGTCTGTATTCTTATATTTCAGGTGTGGTATCGTGTAATACAAATAGTTATCAATAGGGATGATGTACAGGGCTATGCTGCTAAGACAGTGTTTGAGGTAAGATTTGAAAAAAAATATTGACTGAGCTGAAATTTCATTAGATCGAGTGTTTATAACTGTACTGTATTTGCTCTATTAGAAGTGTATATAAACTAGAAATATGTGATTTTCTGTTCAATTGCGAGATCGCGCGAGTTGCATGTAAGACGTGTGTCGAACGTCTGGTGCAAAAATCGAATGATTTGATTTTGAACTTGAATTTCTTTATTTTGTAGCTCACATCGACCGGCCGATCTTCGACAGAGGAATATTGCTTTTGAATACCCTTACTTAATCGAAATTGCCTATCATCAAATGTGGACAGCACATTATTAAGGATGGAAATGTCCCCCAAAATACTTTATCGTTTGTCGAATCCCACGCGATGTTTGACACCACTACGACGCTATGACATTTGTTTGTCCTGTTTTTACGTTCAATTTCACACATAACGCGCGATTCTCGCAGTGAATGGAAAATGGTCTATTGCATTTATTGTTTACTGGATCCTTAGAATTTGATTTATTTTGACCACAGATGCACATGATTTAGTACGCGCATACGCTACTAATAGAGCAAATACGGTATGTGTTGAAATTTCATATTAACAACAGATGTGATGTTGAATAGAGTCAAATGAATCATGTATTTATATGCAAGTTCACATAAACAATGTATATCAAAAGCCCTGATTCTAATAGGTTTCTAGTTATAGTACCGTAAATAATTGTTTTTCTATCTGTAGTCCTTGCAAGCACCAGCATGTCATGAAAACATGGTTAAAGTTGGCGGCTATATTCTAGGAGAATTTGGTAATTTGATTGCTGGTGATCCAAGATCGAGGTAATGAAATTCACATATTTGTTGTTAATGGTCATGTGTGAAGCTGTACAGGTCAAAGTTCATACACAATTAACTCAGTAGTTTAGCATGTGCTTGTGACGTGTTTTGCAATTGCATCTCACTGAACATATTTAAGATTTTATTTCATACATTAATGATGAACTTAGACAGCAGTACTCAGTTTGGGTTCTGGCAACCTAGTATTCCTGAATCTTTTCTACTACCCATAACCATAAAATGTATCTCATTTTTAGATTTCATGTCTACTGCCCTCACAGTTATGAGTTTGAATGTGATGCACTTCATTTTCAACACACCACATGCACTGGTACAAATGTTGAAATATTTTGGTTATATGTCAAGCAAACATTCTTTATCCCGCCAATCTTATTTGTCCACCAACAAATTTCGAAACTTTGTAAACCACAATGAAGAAAATCTTGTGAGCAAAGGTGTAAATAAAAAATAAATATTGTTTTTGCAATTGAATTTCGCCAAGTGAGTTATATGAAAAGCAATATGTTTTATCTGTTTTGTTTTGTATTTTCAGCCCTCAAGTTCAATTCAACCTACTGCATTCTAAGTTTCATCTATGCAGTATCACAACAAGAGGATTACTTCTCTCATCCTATGTAAAGTTCATCAATCTATTCCATGAGATGAAGGTGGTGATACAGGAGGTAAGAAACAGTAATAAGTCTGCCACAATAATCCCAGATCTTGCTTGCCACACCCCCAATATTAAAGGATTGACTCAGTTTTGAAACAAGAAAGGATCATAATTATGATGAATAAGCACTGAATATATTGTCAATATATACCTAACATGCATACGTCTCAGTGAGAAAGCTACAAGGACTGTTTTTGCTCTGACCTATGTAACCATGGTATTTAAGCAGTGGACGCGGTGACTCTCCACCCAGATTTCAATGAAATTTATTCCATTGTGATAATCCAATGAGCTTTTGAAGTTGCCAACAATCAAATGAAAATATTTGCCAGTCAGACATTTTGTTTGCAATGAATGCTATTTC